GAGAAGCTCAGACTCATAAAATTTAGCAGTGGTGACTCTAAGGTTCCTGCAGTGCAGATTACGCCCGTAATGGAGGAGCACGGCTAAGAATGCTCCACACTGTTGGGAAAGGGCAATCTGACCTATGTGCTCCCAGTGGTAGAAAATCACACAATGAGAGCCAGTGGAGCTCTGCAGTTAGATGTATGTTCCAAACTGGTTCTTCCACTAAATCGGCATATAGGTGACCTCTTAAACACCAGTTTCCTCTTGTGTAAAATATGGGTCTACAGTTTCTAAGATTTTTCAAAATTATCTTCTTTTAGGGAAATGCTATTTCTTCTTGTCTCTGGAGAAGCAGAAAGTATTTGAAGTTAGGGAATCAGAACATGGGAAAAGCAGCACACTACTCTCTCTGAATGTGTGTGTGTGTGTGTGTGTGTGTGTGTGTGTGTGTGTGTGTGTGTGCTGGGGAGGAGGTGGTGGAGAACTTTCCCACATGAACCAATTTTCTGACACCAGATGCACTCTCTGTAGTTAACTCAGTTCTGATCCTGACTGCCTGGAATGAGTGCAGACCCCACAGGTTAAGGGCTCAGTCTCATGAGACTGCCAATCCCAGGTTACCTACAACTTCTCTCTGACTTGGCTACAGATCAGAGATTTCCACACATCCTCTTCAGTTTTGGTCATTTCCTACAACAGCACTGCAAACTCAAGAAAACTAGATTACAAAGGATATAACTCAGGAACAACAGATGGAAGAGATGCATAGGGCAGGGTATGGAGGAAGCGGGCCATAGCTATGTTCTCTTTCCCAGTTCTTACCCTCTCAGCACCTCCTTGTGTTCACCAACCAGGAAGCTCTCGAAGCCTCATACTTCAGGGATTTTTAATATCCCCATTCTTGAGGGATATTTTTGTCATTACATTGGCCTGATTGATTAAATCTTTGGCTATTGGCAATTAACTCAACCTGCAGCCCCTCTCCCCTCTCAGAGGTCAGGGGTTGGACTAAAAGTTTCAACACTTTAATCTCCACGTTGGTTCCCCAGACAACTGGCCTCCATCCTGAGAATATCCAGGAACCTCCAGGCACCAGTTGTCTCTTAGCACACAAAAACACATTTATAATCTCTGGAGATTCCAAGACTTTTAGGAGCTGTATTCTAAGAAAGGGGAAGGAGAGTGATATTCCGATATCTTAGTATCAATATTGTAGTTAATGGCTGGTTACAAGAAAGCCAAAATGAATGAGAATGTTTCTACAGCTGGGAATGTAATGTTTTTAGTGTAAGGCTAGAGGCAGATTCTTAGCCTGGAAATCATGGTCAGGCTTAAAATGTACCCCGATTTCTAAGCAAAATGCTGAGTGCATGTCCTATTTTAAATGAATCCATCAGATTAGCAGAAAAATCTGGAAACAAAATTTGACTTAAAATATGAATGACTTCTATGACACATACAGCCAAAGCAGGGACATTGGTGTCACATGATGCACGGTATGCCATTCACTGCTTAGGAGCAGGAAATAGCCTGAAGCATAGGATTCAATTTAGAGCAAAAGGTACAAATTAGCTAGGTTTATATTTTTATGAAAACAGATCCAGTTTTAAAGAGTTACTTTAATAAAGCAAATGAACATGCAATTGGTAGAATATATGGGTTAAGTGGAATTCCTTAGATCCCCAAATCCAGCCCCTTCCACCAGCCATGGAGCCTTCAGATTTTGTGGGATAGCTGACTCTTTGAGATTCCATTTCACAAAGCTTCTCGAATCGCTGGCAAAAGGGTATTAGGACACATGCCCATTACATAAAATTGCTAAATAGATACAACGTATCTTCAGAAAATTCCCAATTCTCTTTTAATCATTTTTTTATCAAACACATTGAAACAGATGTTCTCATCCTGATAATCTCTTAATTTGGGAGTAAAATACATATATTTCTGACATATCAATTTTATTAATTTAATGTTTTCAAATCTTATGCTGTTTTCTAAGCAATATTTTATTATTTTAAAAAGCCTATATATACCACATTGTTATTATATATCAACTCCAATCTCTGTGAAAATGTATTCCTTAAATTTGTCATGTGTTCATATCATATGCACCCTCCATTTGTGTAAGGATTTAGTTTAGAATGAAAAAACACATTATACTTTTGATAGTATGCACAAGACACATGCTTTTAATATCTTTAATAATGTACTCATTCTGGTCATTGTTATGGCACTATTCAGAAGATAAATTAATTCCCTAAATTTTCTGGTACAATAAAGTATTAGCTTATTATTCAGATCTATTTTTAAAAATCAACACAGAGACTCTTTAGAGAGAAATATTGATCACATTGGAGACCATGAACAGCAGTTGAAAGATAGGTAAATATTTGTTTTTTCAGATTGATTAAATCAAAAAATTCTTTTCATAATTATACTTTATTTATTTATTTATCTATGTATTTTTTACATTTTGTTTTTATTGTGACATTATTACAAATTTCCCCCATCTTCATCCCCCCTTTGCTCATCTCCACCCAACCCTCCTCCTCCTTCTGGACCTCACCACATTTTTTTTCGGTGTTCATGGCCTATTAATATATGCTCTACGGCTAATATCTTCACTTCTTTCATCCCATCTGCCCCAACCACCTCCACTCTGACATCTGTCAATCTGTTTCATGTGTACATATCTCCACTTCTATTTTGTTCTTCAGTTTATTTTGTTCATTAGATTCTATAAATACACCTTATTTTTATTAGTAGAATTTCCTCACTCCTTCCTCCAACATAGGAGAGTCAAAAATACAGAAAATGGTTATTTTTTGGAAGGATAATTTATTAATGGGTTTTGAAGGTCTGGGCATAGAACACTGTATTCAGGTTCACGAGGGGGCTGACTTGATGTACCTATAGTAGGTGTTAAATAGTTATGTTAGAATTAAATAACATGCAATGTAGAGCAGTGATAAGTGGCATTTAAAATGCACACAGAAAACTGCTTTACCCCTTAAAATTTCTCTCTATCTATCTATCTATCTATCTATATATGAAAGGCCTGGTGCACAAAAATTTGTGCACTTGGGGGGGGGGTGGTACCTCAGCCCAGCCTGTGCCCTCTTGCAGTCTGGGACCCCTCAGGGGATGACCACCTGCTGGCTTTGGCCCGCTCCCTGGGGGATTGGGCCTTCGCTGGCAAGCAGACATCCCTCTAGCAGCCCAGGAGCCCTCAGGGGATGTCCACTTGCCAGCGGGGAGCAGGCCTAAGCTGCAGTCCGACATCCTTAGTGCTGCTGAGGAGGTGGGAGAGGCTCCCACCACCACTGCTGTACTGGCAGCCATCAGCCTGGCTTGTGGCTGAGCAGAGCTCCCCCATGTAGGAGTGCACTGACCACCAGGAGACAGCTCCTGCATTGAGCATCTGCCCCCGAATGGTCAGTGTGTGTCATAGTGACCAGTCTTTCCCAGTCATTCTGCTGTTAGGGTCAATTTATATATTACACTTTTATTATATAGGATAGAGGCCTGGTGCATGGGTGGGGGTCAGCTGGTTTGCCCTTAAGGTTGTCCCGGATCAGAGTGGGGGTCCTGCTGGGGAGCCTGGCCAGCCTGGGTGAGGGGCTGATGGCTGTTTGCAGGCTGGTCACACTCCCTTCAGGGTGGGGGTCCCCACTGGGGTGCCTGGCCAACCTGGGTGAAGGGCTGATGGCTGTTTGCAGGCTGGTCAAGAACCCCCCCCAATGGGAACCCTCACCCCATGGAGGTTTGGCCAGCCTGGATGAGGAGCTGATGGCTGTTTTCAGGCTGGCAACAACCCCTTTAGGGTAGGGGGTCACCACTGGGTTGCCTGGCCAGTCTGGGCTGAGGGCCATTTCAGGTTGGCCAAGCCCCCCGGTTACAGAAGCTCCAAGCCTCTCCTTTTTTTCTTTTTTTTTTTTTTAATTCTGGGGTTTATTTACCTTCTATAAGTGAAACTTTGTAGCCTTGAGAGAAGCTCAGAGTTGGCCTGGGAGGGCGGGAGGGAAGCCTCTTGCTTGCTCCAGCTCCGTGGCCACAGCCGGCTGAAAGCAAGTATCTGGGGTTTATTTACCTTCTATAATTGAAACTTTGTTGCTTTGAGTGGAGCTCAGAGCTGGCTGTGGCAGGCGGGAAGTTGGCTTCCTCCATCATTGGGGCAACCAAGCCTCCTGCTTGCTCCAGCTCCGTGGCTGCTGGCCGCCATCTTGGTTGGGTTAATTTGCATATAGTCTCTCTGATTGGCTGGTGGGCATGGCTTAAGGCATAGCGAAGGTATGGTCAATTTGCATGTTTATCTTTTATTAATATATATATGTATATATATTATTTGCTAGGTTTTAAATCATTAGGAGGGAGGGGAATGCCCTTACATTTCTCAAAACAAAGTATGGTTTGAATTTTTTCACTTTTAATATTTACTTGTTTATTTATTTTTAACCAAACCAGTCCTTTATTTATTTATTTTTATTTTTTTTATTACTATTTATCTCCTGTATGGAAATAAATGTAACTTCTTATTTTAAAGTAGTGTACAGTTATTTTTAGCATTATCCCAGGATTGTCATGCAATGAAGTCTCTCTCTTAGAGTGAAACCACTATGCAATTATTATGAACACCTAAACTTAATGTTACCCTTTAGTGAATTATATTATGTAGAATTTCCAGTGTGCCTCTTTTTTAAAAAAAGTCAAAGAATATTTTGAAAGAAGTAACAATTGTCATCATGAACTCATCCAATTGATTTATCTAGGAAACATGGGTGCCTTGTGGTGTGTATATGGTTGTAGCCAAATAAGAGTGGGCATTTGGGGTATCATAAAAAATAGGTCTATGAATGTGTTATTTTAAATGTCATAATTTTCTTTAAGATGTATTTGATCTTCAATACAATATCAAATTTGCTAACATGTATCATAGGGATTCTTTTGCTAAGAAAAACTGAATTAAATATAATGTTATTTAATAAAATAAACCAGAAACAAAATCTTGCTTTGTATTTACAGATAAGTTTTAATGGAATATTTCATGGTCTAACACAAATATCAGACCCAATGACACTAATTCTTGTACAGCCTTTGGCTTACCCTGTATAACAAAATCTGTTATTTAAAGTAGACTATAAAATACCTTATGGTAAGTGAACTTCCAAAGACACAAAGAAAATCCTCCATAAATTTAAAAGCTTATCTCAAATTCTAATTAGCATAAACTTAGGATGAATATATTATTGATTGTATTATCTTAGGTAGTTGGATTATATAATGCTAGTTAGAGTGTGAAAATTATAAAAGAAATAGATGTAGATATTTTTGATTCCGTTCATAGTCAACATTAGTAAACAGACATAAGTGAATGTAAAATTACAGAGTTTTGAAATTTTGGCAATCTCAAGCAAAATTCCCTAAGTCAGCAACATTTTTTAACCCTTAGCATATTACAAGGTTCATATATTCCAAGGAGTAAGTACTAAATGTACAAATAAGATAACATTTATTTTACTACTGCTTAATTTTTAAAACTTCCACTTAGAAACTTAAAAGAAAAATGGGCATCATTGAGGATATCTAAAAATAAATGAATGATGTATGCAATTTGAACTAGAAATAGAAAATAATGTGTTTGGTATAAAGGAATATGTCTTGTAAATCTTTAATAACTTGTCAGTGGGAAATAAGAAAGTTCCATCTTTCAATGTCTGTTTTCAACTCTAGTAAAATAAACTAAATGAATAGACAATTCAGTAATGTCCAACAGATAACTAAAATTCAAATTTTATTTTCCATATATATTGGGCATTTTTTTTTTCCTGACAAGGCTTTACTGATAGATGAATTGCAAACGGAAACCCTGTAAGAATGTTTATAAGGGTTGTACATGACATATTTTAAGTGCCACTAAGTACACATTGAATACTTTGTGAGTATATAGGCATATCAACATGCAAGTGTCATGTACCTAATATTACAATATGCATTTTGTTTTTTGAAAATGTTAATGATAACAGTAGATTCAATAACTGTGCAATATGCTTGATTTTTATGGATCTTCTTTACAGCACATAATTTTTATGCTGCCATAAATATACCCTTCCAAAAGTTATGAATTTCATATCATATACATAGAACACTTTATTTTCGAAGCCACATCACTGGGAACACCTGCATTTATTGAATACAATTTTTAGAGATAAGTCTTTAAATTATTTTTAACATGGCAGACTTGTTTCAATATTTGTTGTATTGAAATATTTATGATAAAAATGGAGCTTTCTTGAGGGAATATTTTTTGGTTGAATGAAAAGCAAAATAACCAATTCACAAATATTGATGTGAACTGAATATGAAGAAAATGGGTTAGTAATCCCAAACTCATACATCCTTGGGTTACTACTTAACCGCATCATTGAATCTACAATAGGTACAACAGTTACAGTTGAAAATTTGTAAGGAGCTAAAAATTTTATACATTTAAAAGGAGGAAGAGTACTACTTTTGAAAAATGTCTAAATTATGTTTCTACTTATGTGAGACCTTCAGTACATTAGAAACACAGAGAAAAGCAAAAAGGATATAGAGATAATTCAGTTTACATTTCATAGTTTTTTTCTAACCAACTGGTAAACACTGCTTTCAATTATCAAATATTTTATTGCATATAACTTTCACTATCAGCAAATATAAAGAGAAAAGTGACTACTAGTATCATGTACAAAGAAAAGCATCTGAAGAAAGAAAACATCTGAGGTTGACAGTACTGTGTGTACGAGAAGTGTACTCTGGCGTTCATACCGCACTTGAAAGTCCGTGTAGGAATCACTGCTGTTCTGACCCTGGATGTAGGAAAAGTGCTTAAGTGCTGAGCCCTGGTAGGTTTTTCTTTTGCCCCTGCAATCTTCAAATATCTTTTAACTTGTCTTCTTTTGAAATATACAGCATATTTCATAGAGGGGAAATAGTGGGTTTGTTGTGGGGTTTTTTTACACCTTTTTCACATTTGGGCCCATTCTCTCCCAAATAACCATACATTTCTTGTAACTAGCATATACCTATATTAGTATATGGATACATATGCATATATACGTATATATAGACATATATACATATATATACACATATATGGAAGAGATTATAAAGATAGGACCAAATAGTATTTATAACAAAACCACATAACATAGAAACATCTTAGACTTCAAGCATATATTACAGATTCAAGGTCATAATTTGATTTTTATTATTGTATCCTTTTTTTTTTTTTCTGGAGGAAGATCTGCTTTTAAAATGTCATTTTATTTTAGAATAATTAAATTGCATAATTTGAAAATTTCATATGTCTGTGCACACAAAATAAAATGGACACTTGTGGCAATACTTTGCATTCATTATTTAGAGGTTATTTGTTAATATGGAGGCAGTCTTAAATGCTTAAATTTTTGTCATACATAGGTAACACTGCTTGGAAAAATAAATTATATTTGTAAAGTTTTACTTAAAAGCACAGTATTATTTACTAAGAAATTGCATTTTAAATATTAAATAAATAGATTGAACTACAAAGTGTTGCCATTTAAATTATTTTTTAAAAATCAACACAATGATATTACATTGAAATATTAAATAGGCATGAGATCTGTCCTTCTATAGTTGCAATATTTTGCCTGCAGGAAAAGTTAATAATATAAAAGGAAAACAAATGTAGATCTATACAACCTTGAGTACGCTAAAACAAGTTGGCTTCTGAGAATTCCCAGAGTGTGGGGCGCAGACTGTTATGACAGCCCCCAAAACATGCTTCCTGGGATATCTTGTAAATCATGATTTCTTCTATTTGTATTGAAGTGTCATAGCCCATGTTAAAAGAGAGAGGTAGAAGGGTTATCATAGGTATACATCGCAGAGAACTTACCAGCCATATTCAATAATGATTGCATTCAATATGGATAATGCTGATGAGTTCAGAACCCATTCTTATATTTTGTTCCCCTTAGATCAGTTTATAATCTTTTTACTTTCAATCCATTGCCTTTGGAAGGATATAAGTGCAAAGGGCATGTTTGGAGTAGAATAGGGAGAGAAAGGGAAAAAATAAATCAAAAACAAAGATTAAAAAAATTCCAATGAAATGTAGTGACTACCTATTAAAGGTAACCTGTGTATTTAATTAAATAAATTTGTACTTATAATAAGAGTGTCACAATTCATTAAAACACACACATTTCAAAGAAAGTTGAAGAATTCTAAATTGAATTAGATGTAAATCAAATTTTTTTCTCTCTCCAATAAGGCTGAAAACTAGGCCAAATAATTTTATTGTGTCACATTAATGATTAAGAAATAAAAATTTAATGTTCCATTGAGGCAGTTGTATTTTAAATTAATGATTTAATATGTGGGAGGTGAAGATTAGCAACTTTTTGGGCCTCCTGGAAAATTCTTAAAGTCCCTCTGCATTAAGTATCCAGCAATAGAATTGCAGATATTGCACTGAGTATATTTTCGATATTGCCAGTGTATATTTCAAAAGAAATTCTATTATCTACACTAAGATTTCCTCTTTCCCAGTATTCAAAATGCATATTATAATTACATGGGTTTCAAACATCCATACACAGCAAGTACAAGATACTTACATGTACGTACACTCTAGTTACCTATATTTTGCATAGTTTTTAGTGTGTACTTTGTGCCACTTAAAAAAAGCATTACTCAGTAATTGTTATTAGGTGTTTCATTTATTTCAGCTGTAATTGCCAGATTTTTGTTAATTTGTTTTGTATATTTATCACAGGTTACACTTGGAAAGGGGGATAATATGGGCATTTATAGAGGGCTCTGAGTAATTAGTAATATGACCTGGAAGTTGCAGTAAGATATGGAGTTTTCTTTTCTCCACAGTTAAAAACCTAATGTGAAATTTCATATTTATCATTCTTTAAATTATCTTTCAAGTCCAAAGAAAAAGGAAAAGTGTTTTAAATGTTCCCCTTGGTAACACTTTGCAATAAGTGGCACTATATTACACGATAACTGCTATATTACATGGAAGAACCGTCAGTGTCACAGCTGCTGTACATGTGCCTATATGGAATCTCAATGCTATCACAATCATGAGTAAGTAACTACACATGAACTTGTCCTTTAATGGAGATATTTATATATTTTTACAAAAAATAAAAATAAATGAAGTGTTAGCTTCTTTGCCATATTTAGGAAAGTTAGTTTTCTTTCTCTATTTTTTTTATTTTAATTGTGGGGTTTCAATGCAAGATTAAGCTTCTTGAATCAATGTAAGATCATCCAGTTTCTAGCTTAAATGCCAATAACAGGTTCCTTAAACTGCTTCTTGAATTCTCTGGTAAAAGAAAACAAGTTGAAAATCAATCAATCATCAATCAGTCAATCAATGTCTCTCTCCTCTCACACGCCCCCACACTCTCAATACTCTGCTCATGCTCTCTGTCTTTGCTCTCGGACTCACAAACTTTTCTTTTTCTTCTTAATTTGAATAATTGTTCTATTTAGGACACTCAAAAATGGGAAAAAGAAAAAAATACCGCTTACAAATTTTTGATGAGGGACAATCATTTTACATTGTAAACAGTACACTGGCAGAGAATAGCTACTTTTGGTAAAAATTAATGTTTCATATCCTACTAGGGGTGTGTGTGTGTGTGTGTGTGTCTGTGTGTGCACACTCTCACTGAGTTCCGTAGCTACTATGCTCACTAGGCAGAGACAGAATTTGGCTCTCTGTGGGGATGAGTGTGCATGTTTCAGATGATGCAATTAACATGGTTCCATTTAAAAATGATATTTCATTTTATTTTGAATTTTATAGAAATAAGCAGCGTTTATATATATATTTTTTTGTTTGGTGGAGATAAAATACTTTTTAAAATTGGGAAAATATAATTCCATTGCTATTTTTTCCCCCAGTAACTAAAAACAATACCTAATCCAAACCTATCTATTGAACTGGCAAAATATTTTATTAGAACCCACAAATCATAATATACCAGTTAGTTAGTTTCTTTTTAAGACTTCTAATGATTTTTTATATTACTCCAAAGGGTTAAATAATCAACAATCTTGAAATGTAACCAATTTTGGATCCCTAATTTTACAGTGTTATAAATAATGATTGAGTTATTTAGGAAACAATTTAGCAGTTGGAGCAAAGTAGAATATAGATGAAATGAAGAGAGATGTAAATACATCAGTGAAGAGTAGCAATTTTGTAAGTACATCCTGAAATTAGGCTTTAAATAGTAATTGATGATGCAGTTTATACAACTTCTGTAATAAGAACCTTTCCATTTTTACTAACAGGATGAATTTTGCTTTGTGGAGTCTTTCTAAAGATTATGCATTGAAAGATATGAACAGTTTATAAACCTATTCTAGTTTCAATGTGTCTAGTAGCACCTACCTGATTCTCTCAAACTACCATACTATATTAACATATTATTGCATTTTTCCACAGATGGTATGAATTGAACTGTAAAAACAAGCATGCAATCACATCAATGCAGACTTATTTCCTTAAAATGTCATACTGTATATGATTTATTATGTTAACACTCAACCACATCATATTATTTATGTTCTGTATATTCTGAAAAAGTGCTGCTTGACATCATCCTTTTTCTTTTGTAAGAAATCAACAAGATAAATGCTTCAACAATAAAAAACAATTTAAAATTCTAACATCTTTAAAGGATTTAAACTTTTCTGATAAATAATCTAAGATACAGCACCCTTGTCTTTCATTTGATATTAACACTTGATGTTGTACTTGAATATTCTCATTTCCCCCAAATAAATTCCAAGATATTTTTAAAACCATAGGCCATCATGCTTTGACATCACAAGTATAGCTTCCATATTGTCATTTTCGTTTTCTTCTTAAAGGTGCAATGCTTGTGAATGGGAAAATAATTTTTACCTAACTGGATGTTTAATCTTTAGCATATAACAAATGTAATGAGAACTAATCTAACAATATTGTTATTTACTTGAAGAAATAATATGACTTTAGATTAACTCTGTGTCATATTTAAGAATACAGCATTTCTTAATGGTTAAATACACCAAAATTTCAGAAATAATCCAGAGAAAGAGACTTTCACCTTCGAGGTAAAAGAATGGCAGAAATTCTCTATCACTCATTGTTTCATAAGTTTGTACCTCACAAAATGCATAGACAGGAATTTAATATAAAGAATTAGTTCATTTATACAGAAAACATATCTTAAACACTTCTTTTTGGCAAACCAACATAGGCAAGCAGCTCTGGAACTGCCAAATTAAATTTTGTAAAATTTTAGCAAACTAAGAGTTTATTTTTAGGTTATTCTATTGTGGTTGTAATTTAAAACCTGAGGCTGTGCACTGGTTGTTAGCTTAAAATTACCTTTCCTTATAACATTGTGCTTCCATTGTATAACAAATAAAAATTAACAAGAACTAGAAAAATTGGTTGTTGAACAGTGCTAGGACATACAGACAAAATACTAATACGTGTTATCTACTTGTAATATTGGTTTAAGTAATATCTAAAGGGATATAATGGACATTAGAAAATGCCTACTTATGATTGAATTACCTACAGCCAAAAAGTTAAATATGTATCAAATAATGTTTAATTGGATTTATTATATGCACTATATACAGATACTAAAATGTTTCAAAATTGTGCCCTATGGATATTTTAATTTTGTTTAGGAAGGTGAGTCCTTGTGAAGCAAATAAATTACAGAATCAAATCAGAGCAATGAATGAAATCTTTGTGATTCCCAAAGCAGTAAAATGTTTGTAGCAATTTATTGGCAAACAGCTAAAATAACCTAATGGTGGGAGCTATATAATTATATAAGGTACCATGACATGATTACAATTCGTACACATGGCTCCTGTATCAAATGCTATATTTTTAAATAGCAAATTGATACAGCTTTACCAGTATATCACAAACAGTCCCGAGCTATACTACAGTGTTTTCCGTTTGTGGTTTCCTAGGGCATATGTTTCTAAGCATGTCCTTGAAGAGAGACATGTAGAAAATATTATCTGTAAACCTCTAATGTCTCATTAAACTTAAGCACATTAGCTCTTCATCTAATCCTGTTTCTTGTGAAAGCTGTCCAATGGCAAACTGACTAAGTCCATGATGTAAAGAGGGTGAAAAATGAGGGGTTAAAACAAAACAAAAAAATCTCTGCATACATTTTTCAATGTATAAAAACAACTCAATATCATGACCCAAGGAGATGATTAACATTGTTAAGGCTGTATATTCAAGCACTGTATGTTAAAAGAGCAATGGTGTGGAATTTAGGCAGTAAGAAATGTCCTGCATTATGGATGGTACAGTAATTAAAGAAGGATGCTTTCGACAGCTGATTGCTGGTATGCACTGGCTACGGATAGCAGTACGGTATGGAAGTTATTAAAGGTAGCGAAGATGGTAGAAATGAATTCTGAAAGATGATAGCCAGTTTTCTCCAGCAGCCAGCCTGGTAAGTAAAACTCAGAATCTTGGCCTGCATTTTAAATGAAATACTCTTTTTTCTCTTCAGCATTGACTTGGCTGCCTTCAGCGTTGATAATGGCTGTGTCAGCATCTGGTGCATCTTCAGCTCCTTTAGCTTCATTTGTTAAATATGTTCCTGTGGGTATTGGAAGAAAAATGTGTTAGTTCTGTGAGAATGGTAAATAGCCAGCATTAAAGCAGCATTGATTTAGGAAGGAACTTATGCCAGATATCTTACATGTTAGAAAATATTCTGAGGTGTAATAAACCACACAATTTACCCTTCTAAAGTTGCACACATTCTTTCCGCTTTTAGGTAAATGTTGTAGAGGAAGCTGTGGCCAGGTTAACTAGAGATAACAGCCAAGCTGAAGTGGGTAATGAATACTTTGATTTCTTTAATGATGGATACAGACCATGTGATCCATGCAGCTGTAGCAATCAGGGTCCTTTGTTAAGCAGTTGATAATGATCACATCGAATGTGTCACCATTTCTTTTGGTAACTCCATTTAAAAGTAGATTATATCAAGAGTTTGCTACCTAGCCCATTACAAAAAAAAACAAAAACCAACAACACGTATTACTCTTGCTATGCCACACGTGTGTCCATAAACCTAAAAACAATAACCAAAAGCTTAGTGTTATAGTTGAATTTTTGTTCTAGAAATAAATTATAAACTTGCTTCTGTTTTTGTTATTCCAGCTATGACTTACTCTGTGATCTTTGGCTATTGGTTAAACATTATTTTGCTAAGCCAACTTAACTTCATTTAGTTTGTAAACATGTTTCTATTATTGATTTTAGAGAGAGAAGAGAGAGGGAAAGAAAGAAAAAAACATGGATGTGAGAAGGCAACATTGATCAGCTGCCTCCTGAATGCACCCTACTGGGATCTAGCCCACAGCCAGGCATACCCTGATGGGGAATCAAATAAGTGACCTTTCCATACATGGGACAGTGCTTGATGAACTTAGCTACACTGGCCAGGGCTAAGCCAACTTAACTTCAAAGTTGAGTAAAATAATCAAGAATTCCCTGAAATAATTTAATTTAGTATTTAGATTTCTCTCTCTCTCTCTCTCTCTCTCTCTCTCTCTCTCTCTCTCTCTCTCTCGTACATTCATATAATATCTCATTGTTAAGCAAGTCTTTAGAATGTTTGTGTCAGAGTTAAGAACACTATTAAATACAACCCACCTTTATGTCTTGCCAGATATCGACCAAGCAGAAATATAGAACACAGCGTGACAAATACAACTACAGCCACTATTCCTCCTATAAGAGCATGATCAGGACCAGTCTGGCCAGCCAGAGCATTGGGATCTAGGAAAGAGAAGAAAATATTGCTTAAGTTATAGTCATAGAGTTAAGTATTAGTCATAAAGTGCATATCTGCATTAGAATGAGTTATTAAAATTATCACATTTCTATTAAAATAAAGCTTTATTAATGTGTAGTACACCAATCCTCTAGTCAACAAATATGTATAGTGTATCTATAATATTTATTGTGTACCTATAACATACAACATCACTGGGGATACAACATTTCTCCCATAAATCACTATTGCTTTTGAGTTTTCATTTTAAAGAGAAACTGGATAAACAAATACTAATATGATTTTGCATAGTTTTATGCCTTTTGATCCTCCTCTTCTCCTTCTAAAAATGTCTATGTGTCTATTTTTTGGTGAGATGAACACAATTATAATATTTTAAAAGTGAAATTATGTCTTACGAAAGGATGGAGGTGGAGATGATAACTTGGGATTTATCATTATATAAATGTTATTTAAAGCTATGAAAATTGATAAACTTATTAGAAGAGCGAGTCTAGATAAAAGAAAAGGTCTAAAAATTGAGCCCTGAAAAACTCCCATATTTAAAAGCTAGAAAGAGGAAGTGCTTCTAGCAGAGCAGACTGCGGGGAAGAACAGGGCAGTAGGGAGTATCCTTGAGAGTATGCTATAGAGGAGGGTGGTACAGATTGTGTTTAGTATTATTGATAGAAGGAGGAGAATGAACACTCAGCAGGGAGGATTTAGTGCTTGTTGGGCTTGTAGCTGTAGAAGAAGTGAGTGGAAAGATACAGATTAACGATATGCTTTTATATTCTGCCTTTAGTAAGATATTACAGGAAAGAGATGAGCGCAGGAAACTGTCCATTTTTCAAGCAGAGATCCAAAAGATCAAAAGAAAGCCCAATCATAGGGATATTGAAAGTTTGAGAAATCTAGTGTTTCTAGAAGTCACATAATAAGGAATAAAACTAAATGAAGCTTTGATCAACAAAATCTGCCAAGGCTCAGCACCTATAGCAAGGATCAGTTTGAAAGCACAGCCTGCCCTTCCAAGCCCATTGTTGCAGATAGCGTCATAGTAGCTGCTTATAGTCTAAAGAGGGATTTAGAGGAGGAAAAAATAAAAAAAATAAATTAGGCTTGGAAATTATACCTTTAAATCTCAGAGGGAAGGTGGGGGAGGTTGGAGGGGGAAGAAATTAACCATGTAACTTATGTGCATATATGCATAACCCATGGACACAGAAAATAGTGTGGTGAAGGCCTGTGGGGAGGCAGGAGCAGGATAAAGGGCGTCAATGGGGAAACAGAAGGGGACATCTGTAATACTTTCAACAATGAAGATAAATTTTTTAAAAGGTATTACCAATGGGCAAGGTATTACTATTGTTCTGTTGTTTTTTTCTATCATAGAAATATAATCACAGATTTAAAAAAACATGGAGTGTGGTTATAGGCACACAAATATGGCACATTGATTAGAAGTCTACTGTGATTTTAATAGAACTACTGTGCCCAAAAAACATATGTATAGATAGAGAAAAATGTCTGACTATTTGAAACTTCAATCCTTGGACCCCCAAACTTAAAGAAAGCAAAAGGTAAACTAGGGGAGGGTGGGAGTAAGGAGGAAAGATCAACCAAAGGACTTGCATATAAGCCTAACCAATGGACACAGACAACAGGGGGGTGAGGGCATGAGTGGAGGGGTCAGGGGAGATTATGGAGGGATAAGGATACATATGTAATACCTTAATCAATAAAGAAATTTAAAAAAATAAAAGCTATATAAACTCCATAGAGGGCATATTCTGAAACACTCACTTCAGATGTGGTCAAGGAGGATGACTGATCAGGTTGAATGTTCCACAGGATAGAATTGTGGGAAGTAAAAAAGAAGGAACAGAAGAGAATCCAGTTTCTCCACAGAACTGTTTTTGCCAGGGCAGAGGGATCTTTTAATGCCAGTCTGGCATGTTTCCATAATTGCTATGGATAGTAACTGCTCAGTGCTTACCACTCTTCCTTTATTTCTAAATGGGAACATTTATATTAAGAAGTGCTTCAAAGAACTTATATGCATATACACATCGCCCATTGGTGGTGAAAGCCTGGGGTGGGATGGGACTGGGTGGAGGAGGGCAATGGGAGGGGAAGGAGGGACATCTGTAATACTCTCAACTACAAAGATTTTTAAAAAGCACTTCCCACTTCTCCTGGGTCAGTTCTATCACTGCGTGGTATATGGGTGGAGGTGAGCATTAGTTTTTTGGCTCATTTGTTCCTTAAGTAATGCACACAGATATGATGAAGAGGACTGAGCATATCAATGACCTTTATCTTTGAATTGGATATATTGGTTTGAAAGGTCTTTGGCTTGTCTCTTTGGATAGGGTATGGCAGTGGTTTGTGTGAGGGAGACAACATGAACAAATATTTGGCAAATCAGAAGGATGTATTGGGGCAGAGATTTCTAGCTCATAACAAACTTGGTTCCTATTCTTTCAGTTCACAGAGCTAAATGTTTTCAACCTCACTTGCAGTTGAATGTAACCATGCGATTTGTGTTCTAGGCAATTGAATGAAGGCCCAGACATGTAACCCTGCTGAGCACTCTCCGGAGATACAGGCTGAGAAAGACAAGTATCACATGGTCTCACTTATATGTGGAATCTAATGAGCAAAATAAACAGATGCACAAAATAGTTCCAGAGGTATAAACGCATGGAACAGAATGACCGATTTCAGAGGGAAGGAGGAGGTGGGGGCGTGGGGAGTGATTAGGGAGCTTATATGCATATATGGACGCAGACAATAGAGAGGTGAAGGCCTAGGAAGGGTGGGTTCTGAGTGGAGCAGGTCAATGGGAAAACAAACAAACAAACAGGCCATCTGTAATACTTTCAATAAGAAAGAAGGAAAAAAAAAGAAATGAGAGAGCCACAAGAATAAGTGAGGTAATGGGCCAATAAATCTCCACCTGGAAGAAAATTACCCAACTAAGAATACATGAATTGAAATGCTTAAAAAAAGGGGGGGGGTATTTTAAAAACAATGAGCATTAAATAGTTAATCTGTTATAGGAGCTATTGCTAATTTAGCTTTCTATTATATATTATTGAATTTTCCTTAATTTCTGGCATTGGCTGTAAATCTAAAAACAAAACAAAACAGGTGAAGGGAGCAGAACATAAATCTGCCTTGCCTCTAAATTATCTGTTTGTATTCCTTGCTTAGATACTTTAGAATCACTTTCAAAATCCACCTCTTGCTCAGGTCCCCAAATACAGATAGTCAAAATTCATGTCCATTTTATTACTGAATATATCTCAGAACTGAGCATTCTTTTGGGAAACTGAGAAATCAGATTAGTTTATTTGCTTTGGCCTCATGATTTTTTTCTACTTTACTTTAGATGAATAATTATTCTATTTCCTTCCTTGGAAATCAAATTGTGCCCTGGTAGAAACACCATATTTTATATTGTGTATATGTCATTCCCTCCATTCTATTTTAAAATAATTTCACTAATTTACATTTTGATTTAATTATATTTTCCATGTTTATCCTCTTCTTAGTTGATTTCATTTTCTGCCATTTCTTATTCCTTTGAAAGGTCTTTATCAATTGTGACTTTGGTTTAATTCCACTCTCTATTTAACCCATTCTGTATTTAGTAGATGTTTTAAAAGAATTTTATAATATTGACAATAAAAAGTTCTTATTTTTTTCATTTAAGTATAATAATTATTTTTAGACATCTTGAAAAATGTTTTTACTTTGTGTGTATACATTATTTCTCTTCTTTTATTGAAACCATTTTTTCATTGGGTGCAAAATTTTTAAAATAAATTCTTTTATTTTCTTATATTCATTCATATTGTTGAGATGTTTTGCAGAAGGACTCTGTGATTTGATGCTGGTGTGTATTTCTGTCAGCTGTAAAGTTGCGGATCAATCCACCAGCAGAAACTATCTTTGGATCATATGACATCTGTACATAGTGATTAGACTGGGGGGATGTAAATCATTATTGGTGAGAGATTTCATTGATGAATTTCATACACTTTTGCCTATAATCTTCACTTGCATGGCAGTCGCAGATAACTTAGGTCATTGCCTTTGTTTTTGTACATTAAGACAATTTGACTTGTTACAATGGGTTTTAGATCAATTCACTTGATTTTTAATAGATATAATTACAGATATATTATTTTTATACATTTATTATAACCTTTAGAGAAAATAATATATGAGCACATATTATTTTACCTTATTCATAATGTTCTACACATACTCTTACAATAAATGAAAATACTTTAAACTTTAGTCTTCATTTGATTAACAAAATAAGTCCACATTTTGTCCCAGGATTTTTTAGATTTCAAAGATAAAATAAATATAGAGAATGCTACTTTGTATGTTTACTTACAAATGCATTTCTAAAAAATACTGACCTTGTTGGTTATGCTTTTTATCACCCCGCCCCCCCCCCCCCTGACACATAACTGTTAGAACTAAGTCTATACTTAATTTCGATTCCTTTTTGTTTTCTTTAATTTTTATTGTTTAAAGTCTTACATATGTCTCCTTTTTCCCCCATTGACCTCTCCCTGGCCACCTCCAACCCCCAGCACAGGCCCTCACCCGCCTACTGTCTGTGTCCATTGGTTATGCTTATATGCATGCATACAAGTCCTTTGGTTGATCTCTTACCCCTCTCCCCAACCCTCCCCTACCTTCCCTCTGAGGTTTGATGGTCTGTTTGATGCTTCTATGTCTCTGGATCTATTTTTGTTCATCAGTTTATGTTGTGCATTGTATTCTACAAATGAGTGAGATCATGTGATACTTATCCTTCTCTGACTGGCTTATTTTGTTTAGCATAATGCTCTCCAGGTCCATCCATGCTGTTGCAAATTATAAGAGTTCTTTGGTTTTTACAGCAGCCTAGTATTCCATTGTGTAGATGTACAACAGTTTTCTAATCCACTCCTCTGATGATAAGCACTTAAGCTGTTTC